GTTGATTGGAGAAGATTCTGATACATCAGTTACTATTGGTGTCGAATACTTATCAACCGAATCTGTATTAAAATTCGATGGTGTCATTATACTATCTTCCTTGTTTCTATATTCTTCTGTAATCGCATCTTTTATTCTTTCATCTAGATTTGGTGACACATCACTGATTGGAGAGGATTCTGGTATACTACTTATTGTTGGTGCCGAGTACAGATCAATCAAATCAGAATTCAAATTCGATGGCGTTAGTGTCCTGTCTTCAATGTTTCTAGATTGTTCCGTACCTGCATCTTGCATTTTCTCATCTATCTTCGATGACATACTGCTAATTGGAGAAGATTCTGCTGCATTACTTACTGTTGGTGCCGGGTACTGATCAACCGAATCTGTATTCAAATTTGATGGCGTTACTATGCTGTCTTCGTTATTTCTATATTTTTCAGTAATCGCATCTTGCATTTTTTCATCTATATTCGGTGGTACGTCGTTGATTGGAGAAGATTCTGATACATCAGTTACTGTTGGTGTCGGATACTTATCAACCGAATCTGTATTAAAATTCGATGGTGTTACTATACTATCTTCCTTGTTTCTATATTCTTCCGTAATCGCATCTTTTATTCTTTCATCTAGATTTGGTGACACATCACTGATTGGAGAGGATTCTGGTATACTACTTATTGTTGGTGCCGAGTACAGATCAATCAAATCAGAATTCAAATTCGATGGCGTTAGTGTCCTGTCTTCAATGTTTCTAGATTGTTCCGTACCTGCATCTTGCATTTTCTCATCTATCTTCGATGACATACTGCTAATTGGAGAAGATTCTGCTGCATTACTTACTGTTGGTGCCGGGTACTGATCAACCGAATCTGTATTCAAATTTGATGGCGTTACTATGCTGTCTTCGTTATTTCTATATTTTTCAGTAATCGCATCTTGCATTTTTTCATCTATATTCGGTGGTACGTCGTTGATTGGAGAAGATTCTGATACATCAGTTACTGTTGGTGTCGGATACTTCTCAACCGAATCTGTATTAAAATTCGATGGTGTTACTATACTATCTTCCTTGTTTCTATATTCTTCCGTAATCGCATCTTTTATTCTTTCATCTAGATTTGGTGACACATCACTGATTGAAGAGGATTCTGGTATACTACTTATTTTTGGTGCCGAGTACAGATCAACCAAATCAGAATTCAAATTCGATGGCGTTAGTGTCCTGTCTTCAATGTTTTTAGATTGTTCCGTACCTGCATCTTGCATTTTCTCATCTATCTTCGATGACGTACTGCTAATTGGAGAAGATTCTGCTGTATTACTTACTGTTGGTACCGGGTACTGATCAACCGTATCTGTATTCAAAGTCAATGGCGTCACTATGCTGTCTTCGTTATCTTTATATCCTTCTGTAATCGCATCCTGCATTTTTTCATCTATATTCGGCGACACGTCACTGATTGGAAAAGATTCTGGTACATTACTTATTGTTGATGCAGAATACTTATCAATCGAATCTGTATTAAAATCCGATGGAGTCACTATACTAGCTTCGTTGTTTCTATATTGTTCTGTAGCTTCATCTTGCATTCCCTCATCTATCTTTGACGGCATGTCGCTAATTGGAGAAGATTCTGCTACATTACTTATTATTGATGCCGGATTCTGATCAACTGAATCTGTATTAAAGTTCAATGGCGTTATTGTACTGTCTGCATTATTTCTATTTTGTTCCGTAATCGCATCTTGCATTTTCTCATCTACATTCGGCGACACATCGCTGATTGGAGAGGATTCTGGTACATTACTTATTGTTGGTGCTGAATCAATCGAATCTGTATTAAAGTTCGATGGCGTCATTGTGCTGTCTTCATTGTTTCTATATTGTTCTGTAATCGTATCTTGCATTGTTTCATCCACGTTCGGTGACACGTCGCTGATTGGAGAGATTTTTGGTATATTACTCATTGTTGGTGCCGAGTACAGATCAACAGAATCAGTATTGAAATTCGATGGCGGCACTATGCTGTCTTCGTTATTTTTATATTGTTCTGTAGATGCACCTTGCATTTTTCCATTTATATTCGGTAACACGTCGCTGTTTGGAGTAGATTCTTGTACATTACTTATTGTTGGTGTCGAGTACAGATTAACTGAATCATTATTGAAATTCGATGGCGTCACTGTGCTATCTTTATTGTTTTTATATTGTTCTGTAATCGAATGCGGTATATCATCGAGTTCTGTCGTTAATGGCGATGTAATTCGTAAATTTAATAGTGATGATCCGTCCTCTTCGTTCTGTCCTTCATTAGATGCTTTTTGCATAGTTTCAAGCTGATTCGGAGCTTGACTGTACATTATCTTTTCGTCGCTACCTTCAGAAATTAAGTCTTCTTTGATTGGATTTAACGAATTCGCATTGTTACTTGACACTTTTGTATCGTTATTATTATCGTTATAATTATTCTCTGACAGTGGTCCTATTATATTTATAGGAGTAGTAGTGATAATATCATCGAAAGTCTTGAAATTTACATTTTCCTCCTTTTCTACAATAGAATCGTCCGCATTGGCTTTACTTTCTTCAAGTATTTCTGAAATTTCTTTTACGTTTCCGTCTACAGTTTCATCGAGACGTGGAGATTCCACATTTTCACCCGGGGCATCTGGAACACAAACTGTAGTATCCACCGAGTTGTCGTTCACACAATCTGCCACAATGTTACAAACTCCTCTATCCACTTGATATCCCGTGTTTTGTGGGCATTTGAAGACACTCTGATAAAGTCGATGTCCATTCGTGTCGCATGTGTAAAACATGGAACAGTGACCAGGCACGGGAAATCGACCATATCTCGTGCAACGTGGCATTCTAACGTGATCATATGTGTAGTCGTTTGGTGAAATAATACTGGGAGTTAATTTACTTGAATCGTAGTAAACGCATCGTTGCAAACGATTGTCGAAAATCTGCCTGTTTGCACACTGCGCCAAGATCGACTTGTCGCGCTTGCAGATGTGATAATATAGAGAGCTTTTACAATGCGGCTTCAAGACGTTGATGCCACATGATCGTCCGTTTTCAATGTGAAGCACTTTACCGCCTCCTGGCACACCTAAGCAACGGCCTTCTTCCTGATCATAGTACTGATTGAACTTGCAATAATGTATAGTAGCGGGCCTAATTGTTCGTCGATGTCTTATTATCTGCGGTTCCACAGCATTTTTGTCTGTATTGTCAGTATACTGCAAAAGTGATTTCCTCGATATAAAAATTAATAGTAAAGAGCAGGTATGTTTGATAAACTTCACATCTTATTTAAAAAAAAAATATATATATATGTAAAGAAAAAGATTACATATATATATTTGCAATTTATTATTTCATTTAAAATATATTTCGATATTTTATTGATTCTTAGATTTGCAAGTTTTTCTTGTAATGTAATCTAGCTTTATACTATTTTTAAAAATTAAGTCTATAGATATGCATCAAGTAATGATGAAATTGCTTACCCCAGAAATATTTGAATGATATATTGTCGCAATTATTAGTATAATTCCGAGCGGTAAAAGTAGAAGCAAAAGTAGAATCTTCATAGTTGAAGTCATCGAGGAGCGGCTCGTCTCTCAATAATGTGTCTTCCAGATTTAATAAATCACGTCTGTCTTTGAACTCTCGTGAAACGATAACTTTAAAGAACTCATCACGGAGAGAAGCATGTGGATTTATACATTTCATATCGAAAACGTGCCGATTAACATGTATGTAATGCGAAATTGCAACGTGATGCATCTTCGGTCGGCATTGTCTTAGGATTTCCGAGAACGCAAGATGTTCGTGCGCGAAACGCCGTTACCGAGCTCTGTGCACGAAAATAAGGATTAATGGAAGTAATAATAATAAACGCTTCTTATTTTCGCATTTATATCAGAGGAACAAGAGATTGGGAAATAAATGCGAGATCGCACGAATCGAATTACGTCGGTGCATCGACATTAAGAGGTATAACTTAGTTTCGCGATAAATCGTTCAAGGCCGATTGAGTCACAATTGCGGAATTTGGGAGTATGATTATCACGATATTTGCATTCTGAGAAACCCTGATCGTAAGAACATAATGAAGAACATAATGAAGAATATACTGAAGAACATAATAACGGAGAACTTTAGAAATAAAAACAAGAGTTTATTAATTAATCATCAGCTGGCAATAAGTAAATAAGTAGTAAATCTTTATATATACAACATTTTTCGTTGAGAGATAAATATCTACAAGATAACGTTCACAGTTTATCTTATAGAATAGAATACAGAGAGCATAATAACAATAAGTAATATTAAAATATATATATATATATATATATATATGAAATAGGATTTCATTCTAGGACTTATACATCGTTGCTCGCGACAAAAACAGAGATTGGTATACAATTATATACACATACATACACACACAAACGCACGCGCGCGTGTATAGAAAAGTCGTCATTTACATGCTTTAGATATACTATTTTCTCTCAACAATCATATTGTGGCACTCTATACGTAAAATTGTTGCTCCTTATGATGTTAATTCCAGCACCGTAATATGGCATCACATAGTGTGAACCGTCCGCCGGTCCTACAATTTGCGTAGCTATAAGAATTACATCGGCGAACTGGCCAAGAAAAAGGAATCCCAACGTGCTCAGCTTGAGCAAGCCTAGAGCAGGATATCCAAGGTAAAATCGATCTATGCCGAACATGCCGAGAAATATCGACAACAATAGTGATGTCTCAAATGAATATCCATTTCTGAAAACAATTCAAACGTGAATGTTCACAAACTGTATATATAAACTTGAAGTACTTAATGTAACAAGAATACATTTTTTGTTACACTAAAGGAAGATATAGGTCCCTGGAACCTACTAGCTTTTTGTTATCAGTTTTATTTCTTTAAGAGTTTTACAAATTCAATTACATATTCTTAATCTGTGATATAAGACTATTTGAAAAAAAAAAAATAATAATAATAAAATATCTATGATCACAGGGTTGGCAAAAAGACCACTTTTTTTTACCTAACCAGTGGTCAAAACTGGTTTTAACCGGTCAAAATTCGTTTTAACCAGCCAAAATAACTAGTCAAAATGTATTTTTGTTTTTTAGGAACTTTCAACAATTTTTCGCAAGCTCACCAGATATTGCCTATTCTGCGCCACACATGTACAAAAAATCCGGCCCATCTAAGAATATTTGTGGCCGGTATTCATAATCCGTTCTTATTACAAGACCATTTTAAATGTTTTAAGATGCTAATACGGTCCTCTGATTAGCTCGTAATATTTTAAGACTATATTTATTATAAATACAAAAACCGACTATGAATACTGGTTTAAGAATACAATACCGCATATTGTATTCAGAATACGTTCACTAATAAACGATATTAAATTTCTTACAACAGTGCCTCCTGTATTCCTTAAAGATTTTGTCATACTCGCCCTCCTCGATCAATTACTTGATATATGTTATATACAGGGTATTTCCAAATTAAATGGCAAGACTTCGGGAGCGTGTAGAGGAGTAAAAAACTAAGAAAAAAAGTCCTATAGACATATGCTC